CTGGCATCTTTTTTAATCCCTAGGTCTAATTTTCATACTACTTCAGGCTTATCTACAAAAGCATGTATCTGTTTAGGAAACTAATGGCTCAGGTTCGACTATTGGGTATCTAATAGTTCCCTCATGCAAAATGTTGTCTAACTGAAAATCAAATTTTTCGTTTATTTTCCTTTTGACCCAAAAGGAGAAGAAACGAAAAACTTGATTTTCAAAAGTTTCATTTCAAAATTATGAAAGAACAAACATAAATGTTGTTTAATCATCTTAACTTCCGCCACCAGGCTACGCTGACCGCACTGCGTTTGGCGCAATGCGTGAAGTATTCCTACAGTCTTGTGGGCGCTATGCGTTTCACGCCGCGCCGCGCCGTGCCGATCGCTGCTGAGTGCACTGTTTTTGCCGCAATGCGTGAAGTATTCACGCAGTCTTGTAGGCGCTATTATGTGTAACATGGTCGACCACCGCGGCGAGGGTTTCTTCTTTTCATCTCAAGTCCTCGTCATCAATGCTCTCTGCGCCGCGCCGCTCCAGGCCAAATTGCGTGTTTGGTTCTAATTAAAGGTGCTATCTCTTGTATCACCGAAAGACGACAAAATTAGAAATTACTATACTCTCAGGAAATGAGAGATTTTGCCGATTTTTCTCGTTTGTAATTTTTTTTCTGAATCCGCTTTTTTGTATGCCTACATTTAAGAAATTGCAAAATTTGCCGCCATGAACCGCGGCCCATGTGGCGACTCCCTTAATCCGGCCCTGTTGTCAAAATAAGAAACCAACGTATGCATGGATCGGGCCAAGAAGGAAGAAAAACAGGTAAGTTGGACTATTTCTATCTATGAGGAGGCCTATGTGGAGGTGAGAAATATGGGGTGTGCTCGTCAGTTCTCTGGCCGTAAAAGTGAGTGAGAATAATAAAGCGCCAGTGACGTCAACGGAAATGGATGCCATCGATGCTGCTCCTCGTGCTCCTCGTAGTGCGCTTTAACTCATGAGCCCTGTCCACAACGCTCTCGTCCCATCCTCGCGGCTCATGAATCCCGCATTCAGTTGCCACATAGGTCTGTTTGATAGAATGCAATATCCTGCTTTTCCAATTCTTCAAAAGGAATCACGCCCACTTTTACATCGCTTCTTATGCAGCTTTCTAGAGCACACCCCATGTTTCTCACCTCCACATAGGTCTGTTTGGTAGAAATACGTCCAGTTGATCAATAATACCCTTAAAAATCCATCGTTCCATCAAAATTGAATCGATGGCGATTTCAACAATGACCTAATTTGGAGCCCGCGGGGTCTTTTCTTTATTTTAATGTCCCAAAGACAGTGCCGCTCGGCAGCAGCGTCGAATAAATTGTGCAGAATCCTCCGACCGAATTCGGTTCGGCTCGTCAATCGGATCCGAAGACGTTCCTCTGAGCCTTCCACCGCTCGAGCATTCGAATAAAACGGAGGGTGAAACGCGTTCGGCACAACAGGAACCGGGATCCGCTTCTATCATTTTTCTTCCTGCCCCGCCACCGGGGACCACCCCTCCCTCCGTCCCGGGGGGACATAATCAAACCGAGACTCACGCGCCTCGCATTCCAGAATGACAGGATTCCGGGAGCAGCGTCGGTGGGGTGTCGTGCATTGCGATAAATCGATGGATCCGCAATTTAAACGTATGCAAAAGAGTCGATTATCAGAGTATACCGTGATAATCGATGTTATGCTGTAGCTTCACGTGGAAAAATATCGATTGTCGATAGTTCACGCCTTCCCGCTGAGCAGCTTCGGGATCCGCTTCGTCTTCCAGGAATCTGAATATACACTTCCGCGCTTTTTCGGGCTGGGCCATGAAGATACACTTGATGGATTTTTTTTTATTTTTATTTTATTTGCAGTTTAGTTTCCGTCCGGGGAAGCTTCTGATCATTTTAGAGTTTTCACTACGTACTCGTAGGTGTGTAACGAAGGAGGTAACTGTCACGAGCTGCTTAATACTGCCGTGCTAAGGAAAAACGCCGGATGAACCTCCAGGCGTTGCCAAATTCCCTTTGATAAAACACGAATTTCCTAGTAAACTTATGAATAGTTTCTTCCCGATTTTTCAGATACGTTTGCTAGCAATTTCATCCAAAGTTCCTGAAAATTTCGAGGAAAAATATTCATAACTTTCCTCAAAAATGAACATTTTATCGAAGGGAATTTGGCAACTCTCAAATGTTCATACGGCGTTTTTCTAAGAAAGGTAGTACAATGAAGCTACATCCACAGATTAGACGAAAAAAAAAATATCCCAAAAAATGAAAAAATAATGAATGAGATAGTTCCAAAACACGAGTTTCCCTAATTAAGATTTCCAGAAGATAAAGATTCATGGCTGATTAAAGTTCTCTCCGAGATGAACATTGTTCCTGGAAATCCTGAGCGTAAATTCTGCAATATCCTCCGTTCAGCATCTCATTTCTGGGATTTGTTCCGGTCAAAAGTAAACTTCCTTGCGACATTCAGACTGACTAAGCACAACAGCAACGTTTACAAACGCTGCCGAGACGTTAACATGCCTCCACGCTCCGCAAGTTTGCCATTTCGAATGATTACATAGGCTGTCCCAAAACAACTGAGAGTAAGTCTGTATTTCAGAAACAATAATAGATATTGAAACGCGGTTTGTGAGAGGTTGTAGCTCATATCCTTAGCTATTCAACGAGCTCAAGATTTGCTATTTTGGTCAAAATTTCGCTGAGTTACAGCAATTTTTTGGAGCCGTGTAAAATAGAACCCTACAGGATTTTTGAGTATTTTTTTCCTTGTCTGAACTGTTGTTCCGAGATCGTAACTTTGCGGATCACGTTGACACTGGTCTAGATGCAAGTTCTAACATGTTTGCATGTACTTTCATTGCATACCAGAGTTTTCTTCAACTTCCCAGCGCAGGGAAGCCAACATTGTCCAGCGTTAATGACACGTGTTCTCGTTTGGTGCAATGAGTTCGCCTGCGGAGCTGAAACAAGAGCAACGCTATGCCATCCGTTACTGTGTTTACCAAGGTTTAACTGTCTCTGATACCGTGAAAGAGATGTTATTTGCTTATGGAGAAAATCGACTTGGGGAGAGCACCATTTATCGGTGGCATGCAGCTTTTTCCGAGGGTCGCGAGTCGGCGGCTTTGATTCCGCATGGCGGCCGGCCGTCAACTTCTGCGGCGGAGGAAGAAAGTGTCATTAACGCTGGACAATGTTGGCTTCCCTGAGCTGGGAAGTTGAAGAAAACTCTGGTATGCAATGAAAGCACATGCAAACATGTTAGAACTTGCATCTAGACCAGTGCCAACGTGATCCGCAAAGTTGCGATCTCGGAACAACAGTTCAGACAAGGAAAAAAATACTCAAAAATCCTGTAGGGTTCTATTTTACACGGCTCCAAAAAATTGCTGTAACTCAGCGAAATTTTGACCAAAATAGCAAATCTTGGGCTCGTTCAATAGCTAAGGATATGAGCTACAACCTCTCACAAACCGCGTTTCAATATCTATTATTGTTTCTGAAATACAGACTTACTCTCAGTTGTTTTGGGACAGCCTATGTAAAATCCCAATCATAACGGAAACTCCACGTTCCCGGCGTGAAAAAGGCAACATCGTTGTTCGGAGTAAGCTCCCCAGTGTAAGCTTGAGGAAAAATGCCGAACTATCACTTTCATTACCTCTTACTTTTTAAACCCTCTGTTTGTGATCGTTAAACTTAACTCGCTGCCTCGCCGGTTGCCTACTTGCGAATTCAAGGCGTTTCGCGGGCGTTATCGAGCCCGGCGCGCGGGATTCCGTCATTTTATTGCTCCTCGGCTGGTGAGCGGGGAAGGAATCGTGCTAATGAGACATGACAAATCGCTCGGGTGGAATGCTGTCGTGCTAAGGAAAAACACCGTATGAACCTTCAGGCGTTGCCAAATTGCATTTGATAAATCACGAATTTTTGGGAAAATTTGTAAATATTATTCTTCCAATTTTTCGGATAATTATGTTCGCAATTTCACCTAAAGTTCCTGAAAATTTCAAGGACAAATTTTCATAGCATTCCCCAAAAATTAACGTTTTAACAGGGGAGATCTGGCAACTATCGAATGTTGATACGGCGTTTTCCCTTAGCAAGGCAGAATGCCCCAGCCGTTGCCTCTTGACTGTTGTAGTTGGGGGTGGAATCGCCGTGAGGTGAGTCCTTTTGCTGTGAGTGATCGGGCGGTGGGGTAAAGAATGGGGAGATTCGACTTGAATAGAAATGGAGGTACATTTGGATTCCCTAATTTGTGATTGTTCATAGGGAAGGGGACCTTGTTAACGGAGGAAGAACTGTCGATTTTGATCGAGTTTGTTTGAAAAATTGGGTTTCGAGGTTTTGAAGGAACGCCATTGTGTCTGGGGTCTGAAAAAACGAGGAAATACTAGGATTCCTCAAGGAATAAAAGTAGTCGGGGAGACTGGGGAATTTGTAAGGGAATTGGTATTGAAAGCCGGGAATTTCTTCCTTTCCAGCTCCGAGATCAAATACTCGTAATTTAAAAAAAATTTTTGGTCTTGATGATTAAAAAAGAGACAACAAATGAAAGAGGTGATACTTTTGTCAGAGAACTTAGGGATGAATTTGTGTTTCTTTTGGGATAATTTAGGGGGGAAGACAAAAAAATCCTGGGTTTCCATCAGGATACCTACCCCCGTAAATCAGGGTAAGTACAAAAATTGAAAATCAAGAATTCCAGACACAATGCGGAAAAATATTCCTCGTGCCCAAGGAATCGTTTCATTTTTGGTTTACTCCATTTACGTGCCAATAAAAGACGTAAAGGGGCATACGAATACTGCGATTTTATCAAACTTTAAAACACGGCAACTAGAATTTTAAACCAAAACTTAGAATTTCAAATTAAAAAATACTTAAAGTAAAGTGCAAAGCTCCTACAAAGTAAATTAAAATAATTGAATAAACCGAAAAAAAAACAAGAATAAGACATCGGAAACTTACTAAATTCGAGGTACTTTTGATGAACGGGGTCATATCCTTCCCAGCTGATATTCCTATGATACCGTACTTTGTCCTTGAGTGTTGAGGCAGACGAGTCCTGCTGAGCTGGAAATTCATTTGGATTCCTAGAAAGCAAACAAATCAAATCAAATCAAATAGAGTCAAGTAACACAACAACATTAGTAGGTATATTCAAGTGGATGAAGCGGAAAATGATAATACTCGGCCGGACACTTAATTTTCGTCACCTAATATTGCGTGTCTTCTCCGAATTCCCGCCACGACAAGGCGAGCGCTACTAAGGGATGAATGATTAGAGAGTGGCTGAAAATTGGTCAAATTCTCTGTCGAGAAACCAAAATATAAATTTTAAAGAAAAGGGTTTTTAGTTGCAAATGCTCGACTGAGAAATCTCTTTACAAAACAAAAACTTGGGCGTAAGGCACCAGTGGCGTAGCGTGCTTTGCGATGTATCGATTGTTATGCCATTTAAAGCTATGGGAAAGGATCGATAAACAGGGTGTCCGCAGCGAACACCTGAATAATCGATTCTATACCATAGGTTTAAATGGCATAACAATCGATACATCGCAAGTCACGCCACGCCACTGTAAGGCACTGTTGTAAGTGATGTACACGAAGAGCACTAAAACTGCTTCTCCCAACCCGCCCAGAACACCTGAGTCGAAGTCAAAAGCAAAGCTGTAAGGCTCTTATAAAACTGCAAAATGAATATTTTCAGAGAGAGAAAGAGAGGGAGAGACACGTCTCCCGTCAGAGAAATGTGGTGCGTTAAACGATGCGTTTCAAAGTTGAAGCGGGAAAGAATAAATAGATTGTCCCCGGGCGTTTTGTTAGTGCTGTGTAGGCTGAAGTTGCTTTAACTTGCCGCTATAATATAAGCTTTAGGGGAAGGGATGCGCATTGCGCAGCTGAATGTTCCTAATAAATATTGCAGCTACGCAATTGGAAAAATAGACAAAATGCACTCTTACTTCACAATTTGCATAAGAAATTTGCGTTTGCCGGCCAGGTTGGCCTAGTGGTCAGCGCGTCTGACTCTAGGTCAATAGGTCCCGGGTTCGAATCCCGGTGGTGGCGTCTAATTTTCACGGAATTAACGAGTAGATTTGCTGAAACAGATTATCCTCGGCCCTAATCCCTGAAAATTAGAAAAGCCTGGAGCATGGAGCCTGATGTCTACGGACACTAAACATTGTCTAAAGTTGGCTGACGGTGCTATAGACACGAAGCCATTAAACCAGCAGAAAAAAAAGAAGAAAAAAATTGCGTTTTTTCGAGCTTCCCGCTTCAAGAACGATACTACGGCACAGGTGAACATTCCTCATTCCATCCAACCCCTACTCACAAGGATACTATGAAATACTCAACATAGCCGACGCCAATCCGCCAAAACACATGTGACGGGACTCTGATTCTAACCACCAGATAACAATCGGCGAGTTTACAATCACATTTTTAGCCGCCTTGATTGAACTTGCGCGCGAAAGCGTCGGCCATGTTGAGCAGGGATTGAATGAAACGACTCCTCTAAAGAAATGTTCACCTGTGCTATAGTATCCTTTTTGGAGCGGGAAGTTTTAAAAAACGCAAATTTCTTACGCAAGTTTTGAAGTTAGGCGTGCATTTCAGAGTTTACCGATGCGCTCATTTTGATTTTCAAGACATTATCTATAAGGAAATACTATTATTTTTGCTCCAGCAAAAGTTTGCAACAGGCCCATCTTTGTAATTAGTGGACGATGTGTTGAGAAATCTAGAGAGCAGACACGGTCTAGTATGACGAACTCTCTCTACAAAATTCATTAGTCATCACGAGATGAGATACATGCTCAGTTTGACGCTCATCATTCATCATAAAAAGGGAGAAAATGTTGGTCCCGGAATGCAATTCGTCTCTGGAGCAGGCAACGTTGGAAGAAAAGAGTGTATTAAGGTGGCAGTTGTGGTACTTACCCTGTGCGCGCGAAATTCGTCAAATAGACGATGAAAGTTTCTGAGAGAGTCACTTCGGCCTTGGTGTAATTATGCGAGAAGTGGCTAAAACTCTCCACCAGGGGCGCTCCAAATAAGTAGGGCAGTTCTTCACCGTGCACGGATCCCATCCGCTGTTCCAGACAAACAAAACAAAAAACAGTTAGTACGATTTCAATTTGAAGCTGGGAGATGGAAGCAAGTAATCACTTGGGGGAACGTAGTTTCTTAACAAAGTATTTTTCAATAATCTTACAATTATTCTCTAGAAAAACGTTCATGCACAGAAAAAAGTAGATGGTGCTGATGGCAAAACCTTCTGTTCACTGGACTCCAGCAGTTTCTCTGCAGTATTCTGTTGTACAAAAAACAGGTTGAGAACAGAAAAATTCTGTAAGTGTAACAAAGAAACTGCAGGAGCCCTGAGAACAGAAGGTTTTGTCGTCAGCACCGTCTATTTTTTTCTGTGTGCGGAACATTTTTGACGATGAAAATATTTTCACGCGAGTAAATTAGAAAAGTGGGTTGTCGCGTAGGTTGAGGACGTCTGGTGGTTTTCCTCGGTGTGGAATCGTATTGTCTTTCTATTTATTTGCTATACGTATTTCCACGTGGACTGCGCTTTTTGGAATGTTTTAAAATACTTCACGATCAAATTATTTACACACTAAGAACAAACTTTATTTTGCCTGGGCCAATAACATAACTATACCTATCAATCAGACAAAACGTAAAACTGCGTTGACCCTTAGATACCAAAGTCGGACCAAATTGACCCAAACACGTTAAACTCACTTAAAACACGTGCCTTGCGGGTTGTAAGGGGCTGGTACCTACCAGCTTCAGATGAAGGTTTACAAATACATCCCAAAAAAGAATCAAACATCAAATTGAAAGAAGAAGACAAAATAAAATGTCAACACAGCCGAAAATAAGAGAGCTGATACGTTTTCTAGCCTCGTTTTTTAACTTTTCTCCCGAATCTAAGCGACATCTCATTGCATTGGCAGAATGGATCGGAGTACTACGGGTTCCGCTTCGCACCATCACGCCTTCAATTTTGCAGATGCAGCACGGACATCCATCAAGCACGAATAGTTGTATCTCTGCGCCGTCATCAACGCGCGTACTTTCCCTCGATCTATTTCCATGTTGTATTGGTTCCATTTATCTCATGTTTACAGTGGTGCTTCAAGGACTACGTGAACAACGAAGTCGAAGATGGGAAGAACGTATTTTTGCCTCGTCATCAAGCTTTTCTCCCGAATCTGAGCGACACCTCAATGACAGCATAGAGCGGAGCATTGCGAATTCGAGCCTCGCGCCTTCAATTTTGCAGACGCAACACGGACATCCGTCAAGCACGAAAAGTTGTATCTCTGCGCCGTCATCAATACGCATCCTTTCCCTCGATCTATTTCCATGTTGTTTCGGCTCCGTTTGTCTTATTTTTATTAAAACAGCATCGGAAGGCATGTGGCAGATATTCGAATATTCCTTTAACAGTATAAACTCAAAGAACTTCTAAAATTCAAGTAACCATATGAATACATTGAATACAATATGAATACATATGAAACATTTGAGGGGCTTGGAAGACAAGGCGCATAAGTGCAGTTTTTGAAAAGATTGAGATATTAATAATGTCAAACATAGCTCATTTTAGGAGCAATAAACTTAATACTGGTTTCTTTATGCAGATATATACTTTAGCGGATGAGCCACAAATGGTGGTTCCTTATTACAAGACGTAGTCCGTATCTCCGAGCCTCCAGAGAGCGGCCCGACCCGAGAGCAGAGGATTTCAGCGGCAGACTATGACGTCGTCGACGAGCTCATTCGAACGATTTGTTTCTATAAGAGAACATGTCCCTTTTTAAATGAGCCCTGGGCGATACGATAATGCTCGTGTCCTGCGGCTCATCAGATAATGAATATGTTCTCATCGTGAGGGAACCGGCTCATTTGCATTTTTCACGTCCGAGGCCGGGCTCGTGCGTTGCGGTGGCCTATCTTCCGCGGCGATAATTACCCGACTTAAGAAGACATTAGCTATTCTCTCCGGCACCGCCTATCTCCCTCCCGACTCCATAAATATCAAGCAAGTTGTATTTTAATTACGAGAAGATGTTGTGTTCCATTCATCTCCCCCGCCTCCGGCTCCGCGACGACCGGAACTTCCGGGGAACATCGGGATCCTGCAACCCGAAGAGCGGCTCTGTCTAACGATCCACGCTCCAGATGAAGCCGAGTGACAGAGGGAAACTACCGTCCTGAGGAGGAACATCGTATCATCATACGCAAGCTGCCAAGTTTTTTTCGCTAACATATTTAAATTGAGAATGTAGTTATGAATATGTTCCTTTGGAATTCTTAGCGGGCTGATTGTTGAAATTGATAGATGAAGATATACAGACACAAAGGAAAAAAGGGATACGGAGGGATCACTGGAAAAAAACCATATTGGATCTAGATTCCAGACTCTTGAAAACATTGACAAGAAAAAGGACTGATTCAATCAGATTTAAGCTTGAATCAAAAGGAAATCCGCTCAAATTAAGAGGCTTGGTTCTTGATTTAAGCTTAAACCTGATTGAATTAAGAGTATTTTTTCTTGTCGATTCTTTTAAGAGTCTGGACTCTAGATCCAATATGTTTTTTTTCCAGTGAAGCCTGCAGCCCGAAAGCGCTACCCAAGTAGCATGGATTGCAATTTCATTGCAATGGATTGTGAGTTGATTGCAATTTTTGCTTGTTGCCTATACGTTCATTTGAAGGCGCTTAAAAAGTTGCAATTTTATTGCAATAAGTTTGCAAGAAATGTAGATTATGCTTGTTGCCTAACCTTCTTTTTCAAGGTACTATAAAGACTGCAATTTCGGTGCAATCATGTTGTAACAAATTCACGCCATGTGCCTGGCATCCAATTCTCTAGTTGTTTTAAAGTTTTTTCGACTTAAATGTCTCACCTAACCCTTATAGCCCAACATATTTTGAAAATATTGTCACCTTTATCAAAATATTTTCATGGCAATATTGTAATTAAAATATTTTCAAAATATTTTTAAAACATTTTAAAGGAATATTTTGAAAATGATTACAAAAAATATTTTGAAAATGATTACAAAAAATATTTTTAAAATAATTCAAAAATATTGCCTGTAAACATGCATGTTAAAAATATTCCTTAAGAAAGTTTTGAAAATATTTTAAAAATATTTTTTGAAAATATTTTTAAGTTCTCAAGTTAGTATGTGGTGTAATTTACACCGGTGTAAATTTAGTGTGAGTACCTATTACGTGATATCGAAAAAAAAAATCAGACAAAAAAAATATGAAAAAAATAAATAACACGAAAAAAAATAAATAATAGGCAAAAGAAAGAAGCCTGAGAAAAACGTCAAATCTATGATGAATGTTGAGCCACGCACTGACGCAATGCATGCGATAACAGCCTTAAGAGGCGTGATTTCAACCCAACTCATCATCAGCTCCCTGTAGCTCAGTGGAAAAGTGCTCCGCTTAGAACTTCGCAGGTCGGGTTCAAGCCCACTCTAGGGCGTCCGGTATTTTATGCTGCTAAACGTCGTAGGACATTAGGTAAGCATGGGTTCGAATTATTATAATTTCCCCGGAAAATTTAGGGGTTGAAATTTAAAGGTCGTCAATATTGAAATTTCTTTGCAAAAAAAAAATTGCAACTTTTTTACAATGAGGGGGTCAGATGTTGTAAAATAATTGCAATTTTCTTGCAAGAAAGTTGAAATCATCTGGAAATTTTATTGCATTTAAATTGCAATTTTTTCGTTGCAAAATGCTACTTGGGTAATGGAGAGTATCGAGCCTCATCTTAATTATTGTCATCCTATGCGACGTATACGCGTATTTCGACTTTGATGCTACAGATTTCCTGTCTTATTTCATTGGGTCAACCCGCGTTTTCGTCCAAAATCCCACACTGAAAAAAAAAAACACATTGGATCTAGAGTCAAGACTCTTGAAAACATTGACAAGAAAAAGGACTGATTCGATCGTATTTAAGCTTAAATCAAAAGGAAATCCGCTCAAATTAAGAGGCTTGGTTCTTGATTTAAGCTTAAATCTGATTGAATCAAGAGTATTTTTTCTTGTCGATGCTTTTAAGAGTCCGGACTCTAGATCTGATGTGTTTTTTTCCAGTGTGAGAACATAGTTATGAATTTGTTCTTTTTGAAATTTCAGCGGGCTGATTGTTGAAATCGATAGATAAAGATATAGACACAGAGGAAAAAAGGGATATGGAGGGATCCTATTGGTGAAGGTAGGCGAGCCATTCAGAGAGAACTATTTACTGGAAAATGAATCACGAAAGTGCTCGGATTTTTTGGAATGAAGCGTTTTGTCTGAAAGAAAAAATGCAACAACTGGAACGGACTCGCGACATCCTCATTTCGGACGTCAGCTTCGGCAACGTCGAATAAATAAATAAATCTCGGACGAATTTTAAAGCGACAGTTAGAGAATTTTCCGTTCAAAGGACTGAAAGAAAATAAGTAAAGTTAAACCTTGGAGCAACTCTGATCCTTTTGAGCTGGAGTTGTTGAAGAGTTAAAGTGAGTTGCGAAATGAAATGAGTTTTGTCGCCGTCTATTAGAGCCTTTGATGAAACTTCGATAGATAAGTGAACTGCGCGATTCGACACTTTTAGTTGCTCATTTTTGCGGGCGCAAACAGAGTCGTCGGCCTTTCCTCGCTACGGTTGGCTCCGATTTTCCGGCGAGTCCGGATACCGGAATATTCTTCCGGTTAAAATGCTCGAGGTACATAAGTCTTTGAGATTGTTTTCAATTAATAATATATTAACGAAATATACTTCCAGGATTTTTGACTAAAGCGATCCAGCTACCTCCAAAGAGATGAAAGTTGAAGAATGAAACAAGGGAGATGACAATTTTTAACCTCTTTTGGAACACCACCACCTTTTTTGGTTTTTAATTGAATTTGGAAAGTAAGCGAAACCAACTTCCGCATGAAAAGAGTGTCATTTTTATGGATCGGCAGTTTTGAAAGAAAATTGGACGGCTTCGCCTTAATCAACCTGGCGAAAGCTTTTATTTGATTGAATATATAGTTCCTGGATAAATTTAGGATCTAA